TAACTAATGAATCCTTGGAGATCAGATACAGTAAAATGAAATAACCTACAAATGCTTCAAGTGTTGTAGACGAACAAGTTGATCTCCTTGAAGATTACCAGTGAGACTTAATCCTTGAAGTTTACTGCAGGAAAATAAAAACCGGTGAACCACAAGGGCGTGGGCATAGGCAAAAAAGAAGAAGAAGAAGAAGATTTGTACATGTCAATGACTGATGATTGATGGCATGAAACCCCAGTCCATAATTCGTCACAAGGATCACCTCCCTCTAATTTCCAATTGTTAAGTTGTGTAGGGCAGTTTAGGGATCTGTAAAAATTTCTCAGTGCTTCTACTGCAAAATCACAATCACAATCACATAAATAACAATGAATGCTCAAATCAACCAATAAAGTAACCAAATATATACCTTCCTCAACGTCAGTGAGGGCAACAGCTTGAAAGAGGAAAATTGCAAACACTACAAATCTCTGCTTAGCCGCCATTGTCATTCGTCCTTCGACCAACTTCAAAATACAGAGATGATCAGAGATAATACAGAGATAATCATCAAAATACAGAGATAATCATCAAAATACAGAGATAGTCATCAAATACAGAGATAATCATCAAAATACAGAGATAATCACCAAAGTACAGAGATAATCATCAAACTACAGAGATAATCATCAAAATACAGAGATAATCACCAAAATACAGAGATAATCATCAAAATACAGAGATAATCACCAAAATGCAGAGATAATCACCATTGATTCACCACACTAGCAAGAGAAACAAACAATTACTATTCTGAAGATCTAACGGACGAAGAATCTTTTCACATTCCAATACAGTAAGTAAAACGGTTAGTTAGTTAGTTATAATAGAAACCTTGTGAGCGCGGCAAAAAAATTTCCTCTTTTTCTATACTAATCATATTTTATTTTATCTTTTTTTAAAAAAAATAATTTTTTAGTCACAATATATTTATCTATGTATTTATTCAAAAGAGTTCTATAATTTATCCATATTTTAATGGTTATAGAAAATCTATTTATGTTAAAAAATTATTATTATATAAGGTAGGCTTTATTCAAAATATGTTTTTTTTTATTGATTGGGCATATTTAAAAAGTTATAACTATTTTACTACCAACTTACCCAGTATTCGAGTGCATATAAAATGAGATGGAATCAATATCTGCATTTCCACCTACACTTTCACGTGGAAGTAGAGGAAAGTGTACAAGCAATTTCTAATCATATTTTATTTTATCTTTTTTTAAAATAATTTTATAGTCACAATATATTTATCTTTGTATTTATTTATAAGAGTTCATGTATCGATATTTTATCGGAGATAGAAAATCTATTTATGTTAAAAATTATTATTATATAAGTTAAGCTTTATTTAAATATTTTTTTTATTGATCGTGTATATTTAAAAAGTTATAACTATTTTACTATCAACTTACTCAATATCCGAGTGCATATAAATGAGATTGAACTAATATATTTGCATCAACCGTTATTTTTACATACATTTCTTCGCATACAAATTTCCATTCAAAGTGCATTTCCTAGCATCTGCACTTATGTATACTAGTTTTTGTGCATTTTGCACGTGTACGCCATATTTTTCTTTGTTGGTTAAAACAATATTATATATATATATATATATATATGCTAAGGAATTACAGAAGAATTAGCTAGAACATACTCCTTAGATGGGCTAGTAATTACTGCAATATTACTCAAATGAGCTAACTTATTACATATAGATGGCCTAATTAGTCTAGTCGAGATAACTTCATTCTTGTCTTTAGCAAGTTCGTCTTTGATATAGTCCGATAGAGATTGCAAAAGGATAGCCTTTTCATAGGTTGTTACCCTGGATCCTTGCTTAGCTAATGTATCTACTACATAGTTATCTTGCTTGAAGCTATGTCGGACCAATGTTGTAACACCTCAGAAACCTAGCAGACCTGAACAACAGAAAATTGGGTGAACCACGGAAGGGTTCACGGATCATGAAAGAACGACGGTCCGTCGACCTGCTCGTGGTTCACACCCAGCCAGCGTGATGGACCATGGTTCCCACCACGAGCCGTGGATGGGTCCATCAACCTAAACCAGCAAACCCCTAGCCCAAGTGAAGAACCACAGTGGCCTTCACGATCTGTGGTCCTTTACACGGTTCGTGAAGTGGATCGAGGCAGAGAGGTACAGAACCAGTAGGCACTGGCCAACAACCACAAGCCACTCGATGGACTGTGGTTCCGTTAACGGTCCGTCAGTGGCTCTGTGGGTGGGCCTCGTCAGCTTTTAAGTCAGGATCGTTTTGGTCTTTTCCTCTATGCATTGGGAATTTAAACTACGTTATTTTACTTAGTTTAGCCTAATAATTTAGTCAGAACCTACCCAAAACCTTTTTTCTTCATAAATTATCCAAATTAGAACGAAAGAAGAGAAAGAGGTGTTAGTTTCCTTCAAGAACAAGCAACTGTGTTCTTCAACTTTCATCCCCGAAATCAAAGGATTTCTTTGTAGATTTCGTCACCAGGGATGTGGGATTTCACTATTGGGTTCCTTTTATCCACTAGGTCCCTAGAATTCAGTCAATTCCTTGATTCTCCATATCTTTTTTAGACCTAGGATTTCTAAAACCTTAGATATTTACTATGATTTAGATGTTGTAGTATCCTAAATCGAAATAGCTTATTTCTTGGAAAGTTTGCTTAATTCATTTTATGAAACTCAGAACCCTAATTTGTATAAATTCTCTTAGTTCACGAATTATACTTGTTAAGTTAGTTAAACAGATAATCATGCTCCAGATTTCGAATGTTACATTATCAGTATATAAATAAATGTTGCAGTCTCAGATTGCATGTCAGTATTTTGAGCTATTCAATATTTCAGTTACATTTGTGTCATATACATATTCAGTTGGGAGTAGACTTAGCACGGAGTGGACTAGGGTTCAAAGTCCCACAACTACTTGCCCTCGTAGGAGTAAGTCCCCTCTGTTGGGCATCAGATTTAGTGAACATGCCAGCCATGCCTTTATTCGAGTTTATACAAAAATAACTGAATCATACAAATGTACCCGAAATTATACAAACTTACGAAATTATACAAATCTGCGAATTATACAAACGAGGTAGCTTAAACTGTAGTTACAACCCATAAATATGCAAACTATAAGTATGAAGCATAATTGAATTTATTATAATGGCTATTTGCGAAAGTTCTCCAAAATAAATTTGAGTAACTCACAAAAATGACTATAGTTATAGAGTTATTGAAGTTCAATAGCTACAAGTATGTTATTTACCAAAAATGACTACAATTTATGTCTATATCTAGCTATATTTTTTTATAAAATATTTATACAATGATACATTTATAATTATAATGCACTAAATAAGATATTTTTAGATATGTTAAAAAACTAAAATCACTCCTAAAAATCTGCCAGTTTGAATATGTAGTCTAAAGTGACAGTCTAACATTGTTTATTTTGAAAATTCAAAAAATCAAAACCAAAGATGCAAACTCTGTACAAAAAAAAATGAAAAACGAGAACACTTGTATGTTGAAAAAATATATCTCAATATTATTATTATGCATATAAAGACATGTAGATGAAAATAGTATACAAATACAAATACATATGAATACAATTATGTAACAGTCAACTAATCTTCTGTTATATTGTATTTTATACCTGCACTTGAATACAAACATACATGACTACAATAATATAACAGTTAAATAGACTTTATTTTTATTGTATTTGAAATCTATATTTGAATACAGATACAAATGAATTTAAATTTATAACTATCAATAAGCTATAATTTATAATGTATTTGATACTTATATTTGAATACAAATATAGAGAAATACAATTATATAACTATTAATATGCTTTCATTTATAATATATTTAGTACTTACATTTGAATATAAATACAAATGAATATATTTATGAATACATTATATATATGAATACAAACATTTAAATTCATTTGTATCTGTATTTAAATACATCAATATATATATATATATATATTTTTTTTTTTTTTTTGATGTATTTAAATACAGATACAAATGAATTTAAATACAAATAAACAGATGAATACAAATATTTATATTTGAATACAAAATACAGATGAATATAAATTCAGAACAAACATAGTGTTTTGATTCAAAATACAAATGAATACAAATACAAAGCAAAAGATGGTGCTTTGTTTGGTCTGCCATTAGAGTAAAAAGTTTTGGAGTTCCTTTTGGTTAATTCTAATTGAAACTGTAGAAATTGAATGACACGAACACACACACAGAAAGATTATCTCAAACTGCTTTCCATCATTGTAATGAAAAAAATCTTCAATTGAAACCCTATGAAAATAGATGAAATAGATGTATACAAATATAATCTTTATTAAAACAAGAAAAAATGTAATTAGAATATACTTAATGAAGATGAATCACAAAAATCACTCCTACAATCATGCAAAAGGTTAGTGAATATCGGAAGGATTTTTGAAAAAAAAATATCGATGATATATGAATATTGAAAGAGAAAACATTGAAGAGGATAAACATGAAAACCAACACCGTAAGACATGCCTAACATAATTAATTAGGCGTGTACTAATTACTTTGCTATTTAATTTTTGTTAATATACATATAAAATTGAAAAGAAATGATTATTCATGTTTAGTAAATTAACTTTGCTATTTCATATTTAATTATATCCATATAATATAAAATAAGTAAATTATAGCTATTTATCTTAAATATATATTGATGTTTGCTATATCTTGTAGTTCTTCATTAATTATATCCATATAATATAAAATAAGTAAATTATAGCTATTTATCTTAAATATATATTGATGTTTGCTATATCTTGTAGTTTTTCCAATAAATTATGCCAAATTTAAGGGCTTTTAACTATTTTTTAATATATATATATATATATATATAGAAAATTAGAAAAGCTGAGACTAGTGTCTTCCCTCCTCTCTCTCCGTTTGTAAAACCCTAAAATCACATCCAATCAATCGATTCTCCCCTCCTCTCTCTAAAGTTTTCTATTTGTCTCTTAACAACAATTTGAATCTTCATTGATTTCTCTGTAGTTTGTCCTCATTTCCATTTTCATTGAAGATCTCTTCGATTTTAATCCAAATTTTGTGTTGGTGATATTATATACTATTTTCTGTTGGTGATATTGAGGGCAAAGAAGACTGGCGATTGGTGCAGAAGTCTGTTGAATGGCGGATACGCCGCATCTCCAATATATCTTGGATTGTTCTCACTTAAACTTAGTACTAGGAGAAGTTGCAGTTGTGTTGAGAAAAAGAAAAGAGTGCGTTAACTTCAATATTTTTCAGGAAGGAGAACAATGCTGAGTGTGGTGCGGGTGCATCTCCCGTCTGACATTCCCATAGTAGGCTGTGAACTTACCCCCTATGTTTTGTTGCGTTGTCCTGATTCATTACTCATTTCTGATGATATCCCTGAATCCGCCCCTATTTACGGCTGCTTCTTGAGATATAAGTGGTTAGTTTCTTCTTCTTCTACTTCTTTATATTCATTTGATTATTTTTCAATCAGAGGAATGAGTATAATCTATGGATTGAACTGATTTTCTTGTAGAATGTTTGGTGACTTCCTCATTTTCTTTTGTTAAACCTTCTGTTTTTGGTTTATAAAGTTTTGTTGCGGCTCATGAATGACATTATATTTAGTTGTTCGCTGTATTTTTCCAAGGAGATGATGATCATTGGTTTCCATTTAATTCCTCTCAAATTGGCAATGATAGTTTACGGTTGTGACTGTGAGTCTACTTGCAAGAGTGGCTTTAGTCAGTTTGAACTAGTAGAATGAATGTTATATGCTCTGGAAGAAAGCAGTATCTCTGTAGATATTTTTTAAATTGCTCCTTATCTTTCATTCAAGAAATATGATTACAACCAGATATGTATTGAAAACTCCATTAGATCTCAATAAAGACAAAAAATATACTAGGTGATTTCTTCCCATTTGACTAATTTTCTGCGGGCAAAGTTACCCAACACTTGTGCTAGTGGGAGATAGCAAGTACCTGCAAAATACTTGTGGTGCATGCAAGTTGGTCCATTATAAAAAATGTATTGTAGAATCTGCCCTCCCTTCCTCCAAACCCCCAACCCAATCCTTCAAATAATCATTTGAAAAGTTTGACCAGGGTATAATTGGAAATGTGTTGAGGCTTGATAAGCTGTGACAAAATACCATAATGATGTTAGGTGCATCTACTTTCACAATCTATGGTAGGACCATTTCCTATTTTAAAAAAAGAAAAGAAAATAGAGCTCTGATGGGACTGATTCACGTCTCTGATGGGACTGATTCACGTCAGGAGGTAAAATTAAGTTGTTCTATTTAGCCATAGGAGCATTTGATGTGTATTTGATCTAATGAAGGAAATCCTACTTCAAGTTGTTTGATTTGCTATAGCCCAGAGTCCCCTTTGGCAGAAAGACATCTAGACATTTGTGGCAAAGCTTAACTTCATTTTTTGTCTTAGCTTACAACAACAACATACCCACTGAAATCCCACTAAGTGGGTCTGGGGAGCTTAGAGTGTACACAGACCTTACCACTACCTCGTGGATGTAGAAGGACTGTTTTCGAAAGATACTCGGCTCAAGTGCATCAACCCAAGTAAAGAAAGAAGAAATTAATGAATAAACCATATCAATTAATAAGAAAAACAGGGTAGAGTCATTCTTTTCTTAGCTTTAGGAATTAATTTTGGTTTATGACTAATAGTTATGTAAAATATAGAGGTAAATATATGGTGCGACATACCACATCATGTGTATTTTAGGAAAGTATCTGACTCTCCTATAACACTAGTTAAGATCTCTTGGTACTTGCAGGGAACTAACATAATCTGAGGTCGAACTTTGATTTTCTTCAAAGCAGGATAAAACTATGAATATCTTATGTGTATCATCTCACTGAAGAAATATCTGAATGACCAAATCCCATCCTTGTTGTGACCCCATAAATAAATCCTCACCTATCTGTGTTCTTTGAAAACTCTCCTGTAACTTATAAAGTTCTATCATTCTGGGAATCTCCTAGCCATTCAAGTTTCTTTTAAGGACCAAATCCCAACCTTGTTGTGACTACATTCCAGCAACAATCTCATCTTGATGTTGAGCCAAAGGCCCAAAGCAATGATATCTGGAAAAAGATCTTTGAGGCTCTCAACACCCATCCATTTATTAGCCCAAAAACTGTTTTTCTGCCATTTTAAACCTTGACATTTGACTGATTACTGGGGAAAGGCCAGAAGACTCTAATAGATTTTCAGAGGCCAACACAATAGGGAGTATTATCCACTTTAGTTACCCATTTGTTCAATTCCTCATACTTGCTCTTAATCACCCTGTACCCGAAGGCTTGGTCCTCCTGATGGTACCTCCATAGACCATAGCCACTTCACCCTAAGAGCTTTGCTTTGGTTTTTGAGGTTCTTGATACCCTAATCCACCATGTTTCTTGCTTCTGATGATGTTCTATTAGACCAAGTGAAATTCTTTTTTTTCCTTATTGACTTGTCACATGAAGTTTTTGATTTTGTCCAACCTTTGGACTACTGACTGAGTTACATGGACGATAGATAACATATATGTAGGAAGAGCATCTAGAACTGAGTTTATTAGTGTTAGTCTACCTCCCAAGACAGGACTTGAGGAGCTAACATAATCCAAAAACTGATTTCCATTGTTCAAGGGCATAATCCTTTTCTGAAGGAATCATGACTTTATTTGTACGACGTGATCCTTTTTGTCGATGAAATATGATAGATGATGTAACTGGAATTTCCCTTTTTTTGGTATTGTGCATGTACTAAATTGGATTGAAAGAATTCCACGCATTCGACTTATCAAAAGCTTCCATGCATTAGTGGATGGTCTGGACGACATGACATAATAACCTTTAGAGGAACTATGCATTTTTATTCTTCTTTAATGACCTTTGACTTGTGGAACTTTTCTATATGTTGTAGTACATGTCTGCATAATTCCTAAATTTAAAATTTAACGACTGAACAATTGATAGAGTTTCGCAATTTAATCAGCAAAAGGGTCTATTTTTATATGTACTTCCATAAATATTAGGTTGTATACTTAAATATCATCTTTTCCATTTTATTACAATAATCTAGCCAGATGAGTAGATCTGCCACAGACAAGATGAAATCCTTATTACATCCATACAAATTGAATTGAACTAGATCTGAAATAAAACATAGAGAAGTACGATTGATTAGATCACTAGATCTTATCCTAGTGTCAAGTTCCCAGATAGGCTCTTATGATCTAAATAGCTAAACAAGCAATACATAATGTAACATTTTCGTTGTCACAAACAAAAAGAAAAGGAACCGTGTTCCAGCTACTCGGGTTTCTTGGTTATAAAAATCTAAGTTGCTCGGACTCTTCACTTTCGGTGCCACACCCATGTCGATACGATGTGGGTGTGGGACCGTATCTGATCTGGTCAATGGGTTTTGGTATTTTGACCAAATTTGAGTGAGTAATTTTGGACAGAATCAATGATTTCTGTAATCGAAATAAAAAGTAAGGTGAAATTGAAGAAAATGAAATACCTTGTATATTTAAGTTTCTATTGTCGCTCCCTTTCCTTTTATCTCCTTTCAGAAACTCCTCTTGATCAATATTTTTTTTGATGACCCCTCTTGATCAATATTGTCTCCTCAACTTTTTCACATAATATCTCATAATTTAGGCTTTATAACTCTATTTTTAGATATTTGAATTATTTTTAGCTGAATCCTAGCACCCGTATCCATACATGGATCCATATCCCCGAATCTTATAATTTAGATCATAGAGGATCCGACCTCTAGATCCGCACCCGTATCGGATACCCACACTCAAGTCTGAGCAACTTAGATAAAAAAAAGCTAAAGAAGAAAGTAACATTTTTATGATCTTCTCTTAATAATATTTGTATCCTATATCTCATTAACTTTCTTTTAAATTTATCTTTTGCATTAAAAGATACTCATCATAAGATCAGGTGGTTTATGTTTATAATAGTTGGTAGACATGTTACCATCTGAATATGTTCTAGCATTGTTGGTGTAAGCATTAGGTGCAGGTATATGACACAAATGACATGGTAGATCGTGAAGGAAGACTTGGATAACTGCAGATTTTTTTTTCTTTATTGAAGAACTGCAAATAAGTAATTGAATTTTGGTGGTGGGAGAAAAAGATCAATAAAAGTTACTTCATATATTAATGATAGAACACGGTACTGTGCACCATTTTAAAAAGTTTTTGGCCCTTGGAATTTCGTAACTGTAGAATGTTTAAAATATTGCTCATTTTTGTTTCTTCATTTAAACTTTGGAGAATTAATTTTTATATTTCCTTGAGTTGACCTAAAATAAATGTGCATCTCTATTTTTGTGCAATTGCCATAGGTGCACCTATTAAGGAAAGTCCCTATGTGGGCTTAGTGTGTTGCAGCTTGTTGGTTTCCATCTTTTTGTTGACGTGTGAAATCATTATTTATGTACACAAGTATGAAGTCAATAAACAGAAAAACAATTTGCTTATAAGACACTATGAGCCTGTTTGGATGTGCTTAATGCTTTTGACTTATAAGCCAAAAGCCTTAAGTTAGAATTTCTAACTTATGACTTTTGGCTTATTTTTGTCTTTTCATTTCAAAAAAGTGCTCATAAGCACTTCTTTTGATATCCGAACACTCCAAAAGTGCTTAAAAGCTATTATTAAGATGTATGCAATGCCGGCCATGAATTTTGTCTTGCAGAAAGAGACACTAAATAAAAACTGCAGTCAGAGAATTATGTAGATGTTGTGGATGAATATGTTAATGATTAGGAATCTATCAAAAAATATGTTTAATGTTTAGGATATTATGAATGGCCACTAATCAACCGGTCACACTGGTCAGTGGCATTCATTCAGTTGTCCTGTTCAGATGGATGACACAGTTCCCATTTGAAGCACTGTATAAGAAAAGTTGTTAAATTTGAATTAAAACCTTCAAATGCATATATATATATATATATATATGTATTGAAGTGCGTTTCTAATTGCTATCAGGCCTATATGTCTATGTTAAGATGGTTTATTCCTCAAGATTTTATATCACGTAGTGTATATGTAATATGGAAATATGTATGCTTCCAAAGTCCTTGTTTTTTAAAGTATGAATTTCTTTTTTCCCCCAGGGGTTAGTTCATTTTGCAATTGTTGAGGTACTTGTATCTAGTCACAAGTCCAAGCCCTGAACTAACCGAACTTAGTCCAGTATTTAGGTGTAGAAGGGTAGAGGGTGGACCCATCCCCTAGCTTCAAAGGCTATGATTGGTTGGCTCCAGAACGATTTTTCGGTCATATAAACAAATTCACAAAATCCCAGAAACAGTCAACCACATTTGGGCACCGAGGAAACTGCTTAGAAATCAACCACATGTGGGTACTGGATTGCTTCCTGGGGTTCCATATTTTATAGTTGATATCATGGAAATTATTGCTTGACTAATAGTGTCAGTTTGACTCTGACACTGGCTATTTGGCTCTTTAACTGAATTGATACTTTTCTCCACTATAAAGATGTGATTTGAGCTGTCATTTCTCCTTGCTGCCAAGAAAAGCAATATCTATTGAATTCCTTTTTCATTACTTGTTTGATAATTCTTCGTTTTTTGCAGGTACCGAATACAAAGTGATAAAAATGTTGCCATGTGCAGCATCCATCCATCTGAGCAAGCTACGCTGCAGTGCCTTGCATGTGTGAAGGCCAAAATCCCTGTTGCCAAGAGTTACCATTGCTCCCCAAAATGTTTCTCAGATGCATGGCAGCATCATCGTCTTCTGCATGAACGTGCTGCTAGTGCTGTGAATGCAAATGGAAATGAGGAAAATACAGGATCTGGTGTTAATACAAGCTTGATTTCTTCGCAATCAAGCGGTAGCTTGACAAATGGAACAACACCTTTATATCCTGTAGTAGTAAGTCAAAGAAATGGTGGTGAAACCTGGTTTGAAGTTGGACGCTCTAAAACTTACACCCCATCTGCAGATGATATTGGTCACACCCTTAAATTTGAATGTGCTATCATCAATGCAGAAACAAAATTATCTGTTGGAAATGCTAGTACCATGATGTCTCGAGTGATTCCTGCTCCATCTCCTACTCCACGTCGCTTGATTTCAGTTAGTGGAGTTGATATACCACTGCATCTGGACTTAGATAGTCGTTTATCATCTTCAGGAACTTTTACTGTGCTCTCATACAACATTCTGTCTGATGCATATGCAACAAATGAATTGTACAGTTATTGCCCCTCTTGGGCTCTTGCTTGGACTTACCGGAGACAAAATCTATTGCGTGAAATAGTTGGCTACCGTGCAGACATTGTTTGCCTCCAAGAGGTACCTCCTATGACATCAGCTAAAATTTTAATATGTAATTGTTTAGGTGATTTTGTTGAATCTTTTGAATTAAAGTACCAGTAGGTATGAAAAATCTTTTCATGCTATTCAGGAGGTCGCTTCTTACTTCTATATTGCAATTTAGAGGACTGAATTTGTGAATTTGATGCCTGCATAATCAGCTACTTTAGCTTAAAGAATTTCTTTTTCTTCAAGTGTAGATGTTTGTACTTACCAGTATGTTGTCATGTTAAAAATGATCTTGTGAATTGCCTATGGAATTATAAATACCCGTATCTTAGTGCTTGTATGCTTCCATTATCAGGTTCAGAGTGATCACTTTGAAGAATTCTTTGCTCCTGAGCTGGACAAACATGGTTATCAAGCTTTGTTCAAAAGAAAAACAACTGAGGTTTGTGGTGCATAGTGTGTTTTCATCTGAAAGTTTTTGATTTCTAATGACACTTTTTCTTTATGCAGGTGTTCAGTGGGAATATCAACACCGTTGATGGTTGTGCCACATTTTTCCGCCGAGATAGATTCGCACATGTTAAAAAATATGAGGTATGGAAGCACAGTATGTTCCTGAGAAGGGATTTACTAATAACACAATTTGTGCATTGATATTGTAACAAGAATCTTCGTATGCGCTTGTTGCAGGTTGAGTTCAACAAAGCTGCTCAATCTTTGACTGAAGCCTTAGTACCCAGCGCCCAAAAGAAGACCGCATTAAATCGTTTGCTGAAGGTATCTTGCCGAATTTGTCACTTTCCTTGTTGGCTTATGACGATTTTCATTCAGGACTGGGCTTATATCTCACTAGTGTGTGCTTGACAGGATAATATTGCACTTATTGTGGTTCTGGAAGCAAAGTTCAATAACCAGGGGGTTGACAACCCTGGGAAGCGTCAACTTGTTTGTGTGGTAAGGAACCTGGTGCTCCTTTCACGTTTCCGTTTAGAGTTAACTTCTGTGTTCTGTTCTGTACATCTCTGGAATAAACTCAGCCACTTCCATTGTCGTGCAGCAACCATTTTACTATTATTTCAAGTTGCCTGTGCTTTTGACATGCTGTTTTCTCTATGATTTTCATTGTATTGTTTCATTTTTCTTACTGTCAAGAGCACCTTTCTGTGTCATCTATATTAAGATTAAAGAAACTGTATTGACGAATCTAGATAGTCCCAAGACTTGAAATTTCTAGAAACGACAAATGAAATTGTCAAAACAGAATCTAATAGTGGAAACTTTTGCATCTGACCTGGAAATATTATTCCCAAGGGTCTATAAATGAGTACAAGTCATTTAAATGAAGATAGTTTGCCTAGTGCTTATATTTGCTTCAGTGTAGGTTCTTTAGGTTAAGAACGTTTATAATCTGCAGAAGGTTTCATGTTGAATGTTTATGATTTGCAGAAGGTTTCATGTTTTAATGTTTATGATCTGCAGAAGATTTCACGGTTTAATGTTTATGATCTGCAGAAGATTTCACGGTTTAATGTTTATGATCTGCAGAAGATTTCACGTTTTTATGTTTATGATCAGCTGTAGGTCTCATGTTTTCCTTTCGAGTGAAGTACTATTTGGCAATATTGCATGTCCTTTTGCTGCCTGTATCTTTATTTTATGTTTTGACCGATAGGCATCTTCATAATAGGTTCTGGTTGACAGAGTTGAAGGCCCTTGAACTATTGTAAATTTGTGTCCTTTGGAGACGTGTTCATCATACTCTTACATTTTAAAAGTGATATCAGTTTGATATATTTGAAAGTATCCTGATCTCTAGAATTAAAGAAGAATCTCCATCTTAAAATAAAGGATAGTAGACTTGCAAAATATCTCGACTAATAGTTGAGGGGGTAGTTGAAGGCCCTTGAACTATTGTAGATTTGTGTCCTTTGGAGACGTGTTCATCATACTCTTAGGTTTCTAAAGTGATATCAGTTTGACATATTTGAAAGTATCCTGATCTCTAGAATTAAAGAAGAATCTCCATCTTCTTAAAATAAAGGATAGCAGACATGCAAAATATCTCGACTAATAGTTGAGGGGGTAGTAAGACAACTCTAGCTAGTAAATAGGACTATTTAAAAGGATTGTTAGTTTATTCTTAATTTGCTTTTCTCCATACCCTCTAGGAGTGAAGTACAACAGTTCTGGGAATATGCAAGTTAAGAAAGAATGATCTTCAATCATTTAATTCTATTGGGAAAAGCAAGAACAATCTTTAACATAAACTGCTAATTTTGGAGCAACCCCTGAAAGAATGCCACCTCCTGCATAGCTTGCTTCATAAGTTACTCCTCCCTTTGGTTTCAGATCACATGGTGGAAATGAAATTATGCTCTCTCACACACACATTTGCCCTTTCCTTTTTCATTTTCTTTGTGCATCTGGGGCATTGGTAATTGGTGAGAGTGATATCAGATCTGAATTAAGTAACTGACAACAAGATGCTTTAAAATGTCAAATCTCTTCCCTGCCAATAGGCAATTTTGAGCTTATCTCAAATATGTCTGTTCCTTTTCATGAAACAGTCCTAGTTCACGCGGACCTCATGTTGTGATAAGCTGACACAAACCAAAGCCTTATCAGACTCTGGCTCCTCTTCTCTACCTTAAAATGCGTTATGTTGTACCACCTGCCTTTTTTACTTGTGTTTCCATTCTTCCCTATCCATGACGTATTGTTAACTGTGATTGTGGTATCATTGATGAAGTACCATGGGAAATAACTGGTATTCAGCTGCTATATTGGTAACTTAACTTAGATGCCTGGAGAAAATAATAAGGCTTTGAATCTTTGTTCTTCTAAGGAGGTCAATGTTAGAACTAGTTCCTTTTAGTAAGAGTTTTACCATGCTGTTGTTAACATGAACTCAATTGATCTGGCGAAAACTTTTCTTTATTACAAGATTTTGTATTGTGCCTAGGCAGCAGTCTCCAGCATGCTATTTTGAAAGTTGGAGCAACCAAAAGTTTTTCTTATGAATCTCTTATGGACTCACTTAAATATTGGTGAAAATATTCTTCTGCTAGCGCACCTACTGAATACATTCCTTCATTTCTGAATGCAGGCTAACACACATGTAAATGTTCATCAAGAGTTAAAGGATGTCAGACTTTGGCAGGTTACTATTGGATAACAAATTAAATTGTTCATTTTATCTCAGTCTTGAAACTTGATTGGCAATTTGTTTGCATTTAGGTTCACACACTTTTAAAAGGACTAGAGAAAATTGCTGCTAGTGCTGACATTCCTATGCTGCTCTGTGGCGATTTTAATTCAGCTCCTGGAAGGTCCATGTTTTTCTTGATTTATAATTGCATGTTCTCTCATTGGCAGTGTTGAGAGTTGTACCTCTATTGCTTCCTCATTTTATGCAAAAATCAGGCTGGAACAGTAACATTACTGATAAAAGCTCTTGGCAATGCAGTGCTCCTCATGCACTTGTTGCAATGGGGAAAGTTGATCCAATGCATCCAGAGTTAGCAGTGGACCCTCTTGGTATTTTGCGTCCAGCCACAAAGTTAACGCATCAACTGCCATTGGTATCCACTTCAGTGACTTTAGAAAGCTCCTATTCCCCATTGTCTTTCATAGTAGATATGTTTGCTTCCCCATGTCCCTACCGTTCCTGAGCACATATATATTTTTGTATTAGACTCCATCATTGAGAAGACTAAATAAGCTCTGTGACTATATTGGTTATATTGGTATATATCTGTACAGGTAAGTGCTTACACATCCTTTGCCCGAATACCTGTGGTTCCTGGACTAGATCAGAAACGGAGGAAGCTTGATCCCGGCACGAACGAACCTTTGTTTACAAGCTGCACCAGAGATCATTTTGGGACTCTTGATTATATATTCTATTCTGGTATGATTGCATGGTTCTGTCTTGAGATATTTTACATTAGTGACTTATATTCCATTTTTATGTTTCTGCATGTGGTCATAACTATATTTAATTGTACCTATATATAGAATTGTGGTTAGACTGGTTTGTGTGATGGTTTGAATATGTGCTTTCAGCCGACTCTGTAACTGTTGAATCGTTGTTAGAGCTCTTGGATGAGGAAAGCTTGAGAAAAGACACAGCACTTCCTTCTCCAGAGTGGTCGTCTGATCATATAGCACTCTTAGCTGGGTTTCGCTGCAAGCCTAGAACTAGGCGCTGACAATGGGTATGCAATTTGTTTCTGTTGATTTTAGTTTAAATACATATTTTGCTTGTTCACCATTGTTGTATTTTGTTACAATTGTTCATTTTGGTGCAGGTCTTGCTTGAGGGATGAACTTGAAAATAGAAGCACAAAACAATCCAAAGGACAAATATAAGTCATTGTAAGAATAGTAGCTGATGATATGGCCCCCTGCCTTCTTTTTTCGGTGTCTGTGGTGGGATAGCAGTTGATCCTTGTATTATGTTACCTTATCATCACATAGATAGTTTTTAAAATTTTGAAAAGTCAGTGGAAATTTGCATCAATGTATGTTCTTTAGAATAAAAGCACAGTTAGAATAGAGTTAGAGACTTGCATAGACAGAAGTTTAGGGGCAGAGGAAGAAAAGTGGTTCAGTGTTGTGGATTTAATTTCCCCATGACTTTTGCTCTGTGTGGTCGATAATTGATTTTTATCATGAAGGTTGATTGGAAATTCTGGTCGCAGACTCTTTTATTTGTGCATTACTGGGCTGAAAATCCTGAGTTGTAACAGAGAGTCAGTTTTAAGAAATGAGAATGGGCATATACATATATTGATTTGATTTGATCAGCCAGGGGAAATGTCTGATTTACATGTTTCTGCGTATATGATTAATATAATATAATTGACATCGTAAACTAATCTTAATACAACGAAAGGAACAGGTTGTATTAACATTATTTCACATCAGATTATTGAAATGTGTTTTTGAGGAACAAAAGTTTTTTATATATTTATAGTCTTGAATGTAATAACCAGGGGTGTTTAAAACTGAATTGTGGCCGATAAGCTAATCACAAAATTGGCTTATTGGTATTGGATTGTTAGATAAACGAATTAAAATTTTATGAAAGTCATTAAAACCTAAAACTTGGAAAAGCACTAATGCTATGCACATGAAAAGTACGTCGCAATTAATCAAGTCATTGGCAAAGTGCTTTCACTGGATAATGTAAATGGGATAACCAGTTGAAAATCTAAATCAATTTATCCATTTGATCTTATTACTGCTTAAAAGTCATCTTTTTGTAAGGTATATTAGTCGAAAAAAAGGTACCATAGAGATTAGAGGTTAGTCGATACACTATTCAATAACCATCTGATAGTTGCTAATTTGTTACCCAACCGGTATCTTATAGGTTGGGTAGCGGATTAGTGAATCTAAAAATCGATATCCGATATGCCAAATCGTTAAGCGAAATTATCCGTCCGATCAATCCGATAAGCAGCCCTAGCAATAACTACTTTGTTAGTGACTTGACAATTGAACTAACAAAAAGCCAATACAATATTTGACAAATATTTTAATGCTTATGCTTGTACAACAACCATGGTCATATACAACACAAAAGAAAAAGAAAGCAACAAAAAACAATTGAATACAAAGTAATAGACATTCTAGATTATAGACCTTAATTAGATATGTATACAAGTAATCACAAAGTTAAGATGAATATAGAAAAGTGAAAATACAGTTATAGTGTAACATAGCATATGCTTTATCTATTAATCATTAAAAATTCTTTATGAATTATTTGACCGAAAAGGATGTGACAAGTCAGTATCTTAGTAAAATATGCTAATAAAAGAATATCACAATATAGCTAGTTCATTCATTCATTCATAATATAAATGCACAAGGAAATTAAAACAAAAATATAAGAGTTCAACATAGACCATAAACTGAAAATATTAGTCTTGACAGTACGTAGCACTTCACATCAAGTGTTTTTTTTTTAAAATTTTTTGTAAACAAAGATATTACATATATTACTAGATTACATTGGTACAGGGATTGGGAGCCGTAGGCTCAATCCTAACTAGAGGGTGCATATTACACAAAAAAGTAGAGAGTGACGGATACAAAACATTAGAGTTACCTACGTTACTACTATCTAAACTAATACGATTACTAGAGAAAGCTGAGATAGTCCTTTTTCTTTGCTTCCCTGTTCGGTCATCTTCAAGGGTGTTGCTAACAAAATGTGGTGGCGCATCTAACACAACAATCTCTTCCAAAAAGTTAGGTGAAGAGATTGAATATAATAAGTTGCTATAGATAATCATAATCTATGCTCAGGACATGAAAAATGCTATAGCTAATCATAGTTTCATGGCTACCCACTTATTATGTTCCACAAACTAACCATCTTACTCAACTTGTCTCATATCAACTGACTCATAGCCTAAGCTAAATATAACTACTACCAGTCACAGTCATAACCTGAACCTACTCAAAGTATTAAATGTAGTGTAAACGGTTTGAGTTTGGACTCAAATGAAGGGACAAGGCATATATTCCCTCTTGAAATTGTCCCGAAAAGTTAGTTACACGCTTTAACTATCATGACGATCTATTACACACCTTTACTATTTAAAAATGAATTTATTTACCCCCTAAAGTTGACATGGCAAAATAATAAAACAAAACACAAAATCATGCGTGTCAAATAATTATAAAAGTAAAAAAAATTTAAAAAATCAAAATCTTACTTACACCCAGGGGCGGCTCAACGTAATTTGAGGCCTCAAATGAAATTTTAATTGAGGCCTTAAATCTATATAAATTTCAAATATAGTATTTTATTTTTTTAAATTAAACTTTTTAAGTGCAAATTATTACTTGATATCTTTTCTTCAAATATTTTTTTTCGAATATCGTTTTTAATTATTAATTTTAAGTAATATTTTATCAATTCAACATTGAAAAATATTCTTTTGCTGAGGCAATCATTATATAAATTGTTAACATAATACTATAAGTAATAAGTTGACAAACTTTACATAAAGATACGAATTAGAACCATAAAATCTGATACAAGAAATTGATAACTTGGTATAAGTTATAACCCTACTTTAATATGTTTATGTATAACTTGAATATTTAAGAAGAAACAAAAAAAAGAAAAATTGTAAGTCACTTTGTTGAATTTTTTCGACTATTAATTTATATTTTTGACAGTGTATTACTCTAACTTATAAAAAAAAAAATTAAAAAGAAAGTGCAAAATAATTTTAAAAAGATTAATAATACGAGTGTTAGCGAAGAGAATGTAAACATACAAAATAATGTTTTCTTAATTTCTTCTATTTGATTGGCGTTAAAAATAATAAAATAATATAATTTGTTTAAAATTATACTTTTTAAGTAAAAATAATTATTTTTTAATTAAAAAAATTAACACATAATTTTTTCTTGATGAAAATTTGAGGCCCCCAATTTGCATGTACCTTAAATTTATCAAGCAAGAGTCGGCACTGCTTACACCCCACCCCCCCCACATCTCTTCTTCACACCCCCACTTTGTTAAACTCTTTTATGATATAAGACTATTTCATTGAAATCGTTATTTCTATTATCTTACATGATGTATGCAAGTGGCTCGTATAGGGCCTCTTTGGGTTCTATACATCATGTTATGCCTAGGATATACTTTGGGTCGTGACATGGTGTATTCCATTGTTAATATAAAGGTTCTCATACTTCTTCGTACCATTGTTATGATGGCTATGTGAGATAAAATACTTTCTCCCATAGGTCTTATGAATCCTTTTAGTGGAATCTAGATTGAAATGGAAGTTGTGAGGTAGATTTATCTTCACCATATTGAAGTAAGATTTTGATGATTGCTTACGGATGTTTGAAAATGTCAAATCTATGGTGCAAGGGAAATAAGCTACTCATCATGAACTTGAGCCTAAGGAGTTGCTTTTGGAAACAAAGCAAGCTACTGCTTGTGATATTTAAACCAAAGGAGTTGTGCATCAAAATTAAAGTAAGACTTGAAGGGATCTTCTAACCCTTCACAGGGATTCCTTGGTACTTTTCCTAACTCCCATAAAATTTTGAGGCAAAATATTAAGATGAATAATTAGGATGTGAAATGAGACAACTCTAGTGTGGGAAAAATGAGAGGTTGTGTGGGGTGAAATTAGATGTGGGAAAAATTTCTTTTTCTAGTTGCTTTAATGATTTTGTAGGTGTCCTTGGAATAAATCCTAGCGAAGAACCTCAAAATGGGAATATGTTTTCCAATGTTGATAACCAAGGTGAAGACACTTCTTCCTATGAGGTACAAAGTATCAATTCTAACTCTTAGTACACTTCCTTGAACATGGAACATCATTGCGTGGCTAGTATCCAATTTAGTGTAAATGATATCTTGTTAATATGTGAGCATAATAAGTCTTTACCTTGTGATGTTCTTGATAGCACCTTGTTGTGTTATGATTATATCCTTGTTGTGAGTGAGGTGACACTAGTTGATTCTAAAGATGACCAGATTGACTCTTCTAGTAAGGTCGATTTGATTCCACCTAGTTTTGGCAGTTGTAGCTTGAATGAGGGTACATTGTCATGTGATAAAAGTGATTCTACACTAGTTAATCCTATTGATGGCCAAGTCAATTCTTCTAGAAAGATTGATTTGTGTCCACCTAGGGTTGGTATTTATGATTTAAATGAATCCTTAGACTTTAACACCATTTATTGTTTTTTTCAAGAGAATCTTGAGGTAGAATGTCTGTATAAGGAAGTTCTCTTGTTTGATGATGACATAACTCATGAGAGTGCGCATAGTGAAATGCCTTATAATGTTGGAAGTGTATCCACTCTTGAAGGCTACCATTTATTTGGGAATCTACTAGGGTGTGATGACACACTTTCTGACAGGATGAAAATCTCTTTTATGAAGATGATAATACATTTATTGGAGAGTGTAGTGTTGAGAAAAAAGGTGATGCTTATCTGTTAATTGCTACTTCTTCCTTGTGTGTTCAAATTCTTCATATGAGTTATGATGTTTTTGTATATAAAGTAGAGGGTAAAACTTGGGAAGACAATGATTGAAGTTGATTTATGTGACACCTTTCTGTAGTACTTGTTTGCATATGATGGTGCTCACATATTTTGAGTGGAGTATGTGGTTTTTGCGAGCTTCAATTTTTCTTCTCTTCAACTTTTTCCAATTTTTTCGCTTCTTTTTGCATTATAGTGTCCTTGCCTTGTTCATTAGCCTTCGTGTCAGGAGCAAAGCTACTATAGCAAAAGGGGGTTCAGACGAACCCACTGACTTTTCCATAGATTCAATATTCGTATTAAAATATCAAATATAAAGTACAAATAAATTTATTGCACAAACACAGTGAAGCGGGTAGCCCAATGGTCTTTCTGCACCCAACGGAATTTAAATAAAAATAAATTAAAAAACAGAATGTTAAATGAAAAATAGTGTTTTTGGAATTAATATCTAACCTAAAGATAATAACACAAGTAGGTTTATATATTTATTTATTTAAAAAAAAAAAAAATCGATAAATGAAAATAAACAGAAAAATAGTGTTTGTGTCATACTCTGAAACAATATCTAATCATTGATTTCTACCAAGACATT